ACTAATACTAAAACACAGAAAGTGATGTATTAGTAGATAATATTTGCTTTTATAATATAAATAATAACAGTCTTGATTTTGCCACCCATTATTGCATAGCAAGGTACATAATGCTCATGGTAAACCACGTACTTAGGGTTTAACTGATCGCCATATTGGGGTCGGGAAGGAAATTTCCTCCAGGGCAGATTGGCAGAGGCCTTGGAGGTTTTTCTTCTTCCTCTGCAGCGTGGGGCATGGGTCACTTGCAGATTCTCTGCACCTTGAAGTCTTTAAACCATGATTTGACTCAGACATAGGCTAGGGGTTTGTTGCAGGAGTGGGTGGGTGAGATTCTGCGGCCTGCCTTGTGCAGGAGGTCAGACTAGATGATCATATTGGTCCCTTCTGACCTTAAAGTCTATGACTCCACTACCTTTATAGGGACTGCTCGTGTATCTGGACACTGCTAAGTATAAGAGTGGTAGAATGAGGCCCATATAAACAATACCATCCCACAAGAAACCACAGCACTTTACAAACCTAAACTGATATACAGAAAAAAATCATTGTTAGTACACATGAATGCAGTTCCATTCCAGGGCTGAATTTAGGGCACAAATGAAAAACTGGGAGATATACTGCTAGAGAAATGCAGCCACGTTTAGTAAAAAATACAGCAAGGGTTTAAACAAAGAACAGCAACCCTACACAACAGTTCAGGAAAGGAAGAACAATGCCTCATACAATTGAAAATGCCTGGAGAATATAGCTGACAGAACGTAATTACCACAACAGAATTTAATCAGGTTAGCATGGAGGTTAGCACTCATACCCTTAAGAAAAGTACCATGAGATCTTTAAATGACTACAAGTGGCCATGGCCTCAGTTACATATCTCAGTGAGACAACATCTGCTGGAACACAGTGTTCTCTAATATCAGGCTGGTCCATGCCTACAGAGAGAAGAGTTCCACCCACTGAATCTCCAGTACCACTGTCTGTAGTTCTTAGGACTTCCTTAGATGTCTCCTATCTAGAAAAGTGATCCAACTGGAACCAGAGATCTAAGTGGTTCACAGCACAGTGTGGCATGGCACCAGGCCATTTTCATATGTTTTAAAAATCCCCAGTGCACCACTTATAGTGGAAGTTATTTATTAGCATAGATCTGAACCACTTCTTTAACATAATCCAAATCATTTAAAAAAAATCATTGGCTAGACCTCCATATAAGTCTCTATGGCAATGTCTTCACTGCCGAGTTAAGTTAAATTATCTGTGCTTGAGTTAGATTAACTCGAATGAGAGGTGCCACACAATGAAATAACACTGGAGTTGCAAATATTATTGGATTAGCAGCATAGCATGATTATGTTAGTGTGACTTGCACTCTATATGATTTTATGAAAATATGCTAATGAGTGTGAGTATAATGTAACCGGAATATGCTTCATGCAAAAGGTCTCTTGTAAGGTATCTTTGCAAAGCTTATAATCTACTGAATGTGGTCATCCTATTTGTATGTATGTACCATTCTTGTATCTGAAACTAGAAATATGAAATATAACTCTGAGGGCCTATTGTAATTATGCGAAGTGTGGGCCATTAATGGCGGTTTGGAATCTTGATGGCTCCCATCACCCAAAACAATTGACTGTGGATGGTTCTGTTTGCTTGCAGGCCTTCCTGTAAGTCAGGCAGGGAGGAATGAAGGCTTGGGGTCTCACAGGACATGTGACCATGTCACCTGGTACTGAAATCCATCTTAAACCTGGTGCTTTTCCATTTAGGAGGAGGGGTGGGAACCCAGAGAGGGACAAAGGATTCCCACCTTGTGCCAAGCTATATAAGGGGGTGAAACAGAACAAAGGGGGCTGCAATCATGAGAAATCCTCTAGCTACCACCTGAGCTGGAACAAGGGCTGTACCAGGGGAAAGGATTGTGCCCAGACTAGGAAGGCATCCAGTCTGTGATAAAAGCTTATTGAAACATCTCTGAGGGTGAGATTTTATCTGTATTCAGCTTTCTTACTGTATTAGGTTTAGACTTGCGTGTTTTATTTTATTTTGCTTGGTAATTCACTTTGTTCTGTCTGTTACTACTTGGAACCACTTAAATCCTACTTTTTGTATTTAATAAAATCACTTTTTACTTATCAATTAACCCAGAATATGTATTAATACCAGGGGCGGGGGGACAAACAGCTGTGCATATCTCTCTATCAGTGCTATAGAGGACGAACAATTTATGAGTTTACCCTGTATAAGCTTTAGACAGAGTAAACAGATTTATTTGGGGTTTGGACCCCATTGGGAATTGGGCATCTGAGTGTTAGAGACAGGAACACTTAAGCTGCTTTCAGTTAAGCCTGCAGTTTGTGGGACATCATTCAGACCTGGGTCTGTGTTTGTAGCCTGCACGCGTGTCTGGCACAACCAGGCAGGGTGCTGGAGTCCCAAGCTGGCAGGGAAGGCAGGGGCAGAAGTAGTCTTGGCACATCAGTTGGCAGCCTTAAGGGGGTTTCTGTGATCCAACCTGTCACAGTTAGTATCTGATGAGTTGTGGTAACTCAGGCTGTAGGCTATACCCCACAATGGACTCGCCATCTCGAATAAAAGCACCACCGCACTAGAGTTAGGGTTTTTTTTTGCATGGGCAGGAAACAAGCTAGCTCAGCACTGAAGGGAAGCACTATATCTTGTCATAAGGGTATGTCAACACAGCAAATTAAAAAAAAAATCCCATGGCAGTGAGTCTCAGAGCCTAGGTCAACTGACTCAGGCTCACGCTGCAGAGTCAAAAGTTCAAGCTTGGATTGTAGCCATGGCTCTGAAACTCGGCAAGGTGGGAGGGTCTTGGAGCCCAGGCTCATCCAGAGCCCAAATGTCTACAGTGATATTTCTAGCCCTTCAGCTTGAGCCCGAGTCAGGTGACCCGGGCTCTGCGACTCATTGCCTCAGGGATCTTTTTGTTTTTGCTGTGTAGATGTACCCTAAGAGAATACACTCCAAGCAATGCAATGGTTGTATTACTTTTAGAAGCAGTGGCCTAATTTTCAGAGGTCTGAGCCCTTATAGCTGCCATTGATTTCAACATGAGCTGTAAGGACTCAAAATTCTGAAATTCAAGCTCAATGGTATCATTAGAAACAGTGTCTCTGCAACATGCACATGGTTCTGCTGCTTCCTATGGCCACCTTATAGAGAGAATCGTGTATATCAGCACAAGATTTACAGGCTTAGCTAATTTGACTTAATTTTGTTTAACATAAATATAAATAAACACCAAAGTTGTGATTTAATAATTTTGCGCATCCTTATTTTGTTTGCATGGGTGGCTCTTTGCATTAGGGATAGAACACTTTTTTATCCTGGGTGTTTATTTCTTGTACAAAGTATTTCAGATTGGCATCTGATGTTTTACATCAGAGACCAATAGCAACAGTCAATTCTTGACTTTTTTCTCATTCTTTAATCAAGAGGCTTTAGAAACCAACACACTTGCAATATATTTGCAAGTCCCATACACAGTATTTAAATCCCCCAAGAAGAATTTGAGTATGACAAAAAAAATTTCAAGTAATGCCAACTGTACTTGGAAGCTGTGAACCTTGCAACTGTCAACACACAGTATGATGTAAACAAAAGGGGCCTTCTTTGTGATGGAGTTTCAGTTATATCATATTGTAGGTGATGATAGGCATTCTGAAATTGATTAGCACCTCTCCTGTTTGGGTACAATTAGACTTGTTTTGCAAGTGTTATGTTAAAAATGTATTTCAGAACTGAGTATGAAAGTGCTATTTGGACAGCATCCTGCATATCTAGTATTGCATGGGCTTTGTTACTAAAACTTCCAATTTCAGTTGAGTACTGCAGGCTGTAAACTCTAAGGGCCTGTTCCCATACTCCTTATGAAGGCAAAACTCCAATTATTCTTAGACCAAAAACACAGCAGGCCAAGTTCTGGCCTTGAATATTTCCAGGCAGCATCCACTGAAGATAACGGAGTTGTGCAAAAGTATACTTTATTCCGCAAAGGTTCTTTCACTGCACCACCAGTGGATCTATCTTGTGTGAAGACATACATAGAGGAGCATGCTAACTAATGTTTTACTAGAAGAGTATCAACAGTCTCCTTTGCAGTTTTTAACAGCTTGCACTAAGGACAGAAATTAGAATCTGGGATTCTCAAGCTAACTGCATGATGTTCCTTACAGGACATCCCATTATTGTAACAAAGACAACATTTGTCCAAATGAATACACCTCTACCCCGATATAACGCTGTCCTCAGGAGCCAAAAAATCGTATCGCGTTATAGGTGAAACCGCATTATATCGAACTTGCTTTGATCCACTGGAGTGCGCAGCCCTACCTCCCCCCCCCACTCCCGGAGCACTGCTTTACCGCGTTATATCCGAATTCGTGTTATATCGGGTCGCATTATATCGGGGTAGAGGTGTACAATTAGATCAACTTGCGTCTCCGGAGAGTCAAAACTGTAATGTGCTTTTTAAATGGCTTGGTATCTGCAGTGTGGCTGAATTCTTCCATTGCTCCTTAAATGTAAGATGCCAATAAAGAGTCTTTTACATTTTAAAAATTGAAATGGTTTGAGGGTCTGTGAAACCCCTCCTGAGGAGTGCACCTTTTAAAATCTGTAATTCTATAAAATGCAGACATAATTCCCTTGCCTTTTATCTCAGAACAATGGAATAAATTTCATTTTAAATTATAGATTGGGCCAAACCTCCGAGCTGAACACCCTTAATGGTAGGGAAGGTTTTGAAGTTCCAATATAGATTCAGACTTCACAGCTTAAGCTCATCCCTATTTCAAATGGAGACATCAAGCCATTGTTTCTGTCACTGCCCATGGGAGCTGCAGAGGTTCAAAATTTTGTTCAACTATCGTTCATCTACTCTAAAGTTTTGGCTTATTCAAGTTACATTTTTGTTTCCAAATACAATTCTTGGTGCAATAACACATTTTTTTTTTTTTTTGTAAAAATTTCAGATGTTTAAGGGGTTTGAAAAACTGAACGATGTTCAGTATGTCTATACTCCTTTTGATTCATCTCTCTGTGGAGTGAAACTAGAAGCTAACAACAAGAAACAATATCTCCTCACAGGTAAAAGGCAAACAAATCTTAACATATAAAATCCTTACAACCCCAACACTGTTTAATGATTTATCTAGTTGACTTTGTACCAACTATAGAATTAATACTGTAATTAGTAATTTATGGACAACAAAGTGATACTAACATGAAAATCTACAGAGTCACATATTGATAATACCACCTTGGTTTTATATATTTAGAGCTCTGCAAATCTGATATCCACTTTATATTTGCAGATATCTATATCCGCAGATGTGGATATCCATGGACCATTTTTGCGGATTGTGGATTGGATGCGGATACAAATTTTGTATCCGTGCAAGGCTCTCTATATATAGTACCTTTCATCTTTCAGCAGTAGATCTCATAGTGCTTTAACAAAAGAGGTCAATATCATTATGTAAATAGCTATTTCTGTTACAAAGCCTGGCCTTTCTCTAGCAGGACTCAGTCCATTATTTTGTCCTATTACTAAATTAAACCCTAATCCTGCAAACAATTCCACACATGAGTGGTCCCAATGAGTTAATTCAATTACTCACATGCCAAATGTGTTTGCAGGATAGGGTCCTTAATTACTGCCAGATGTTTGTAAAATGATTTTGAATTCTAGTTTCACATAGTACTGTTTTCATGTCCCTTGTTGGCAGACCATCAGCATCTTTTGAGAAATTATATTAACATTTTTCAATCTGCATGTAACAGCACAATAATTAAGCGGAGCTGTTTAAATTGCAAGTACAACAACAGTTACTGAAAACATGTAAAATCTGACTTATTTGGAGCTACTAGTTTCAAACTTTAGAGTTTTCTCACAATGTAGACTAGGGTTTACAGTGCACTCTGCTTCACACACTTTATTTTTGTTATTTCCCCCCATATAGGCCAAATATTAAATGATGGTAAAGTTCTCATCCATTTATGCAATTACATTGAACCGTGGGATGATCTATCCTTGTCTCAAAAGAAGAGTCTTAACCAGAGGTACCAAATGGGCTGTGGCTGCAAAGTAAGTATAGAAATCAGCAATAACAGTGACTGTCTAATATGTTCAAGGCTCAATCCTTAGAGGAAACAGAAATTTTTTCTTGGTTGGAACTGCAAAAATACTGTCTTATGTACAATACATTTGATAAATTATTTGATTTCCACATAACTACTTATTTCAAGATCAGTACAGACATTCTAGGTAAACTTTCATACGCTGAAAAAGCATGAAGCAAATGAGAAATGTCATTCTAATGGAAATTTTGACGAGTACACTGAATTAACTTCACATTTCACATTTAGATTACTACCTGCTACATGGTGCCCTGCTCAATCACTACACCAAACGAGTGTCTCTGGACAGACTGGCTGATAGAAAGGAAGCTGTATGGGCACCAGGCCAAGCATTATGCCTGTATCAAGCGAAGTGATGGCACTTGCAGCTGGTACCGAGGTGGCCCCCCGCCAGAGAAAGTGTTTACTGACATCAGCGAACCTTAAAATGATCACTTCCTAAAAAGCCTGGGAGGCTAATTCCATCAAACGTTGCACGCTCACAGCTTTGAACAGCCAACATCTTATGTATCTGTTGCTTAGAAACAAAAACAAATTGTGCTTACAAGTAAAGTACAGAGTTTGTGGAATTGGCACCCAGGCAAGAAGAAGAACAAATCTCTTGGAGGTAGCTTATAAAGTTCTGCTTTGTATACAGGGGCTTTAGTTGAGAATGGTCCTCTGTGTTCTCAGAGGCATAACAACTTTCCTTTTTACCAATATGAATGTAGAAGAACAAAAGAATGATCAGATTTTTGCCCCCTACTCCAGTTACCTAGCAGATTAAGAAAACCCTGTGTTTCAGTCCAAAACAGTCTTTCTGATACGTGAAGAATGTTTTATACAACTATTTTTTTTTCTGTATGGAAGCCTTCTGATAAAAATAATAATTATTGTAAAGTGTATATGTAAAGTATTATAACAATGTGCTGTAAAAAAAGATTCAAAGATTCATGTTTTCTTCATTTTTGTTGAAACAAGTTAAACATTTTTGTGATTAAAAACTTGGTTTTTTTTGTATGTTACTTAAATGTTCTATTTCTTACATGTGTATTGTAACATTTTTTAGTAATTAGGTTAAATATATATCTTTGATAATCACAAATGCCTATCCAATTCATTGATCCAATGGATTGGCACATACTGTAAAGAGAAAAGTTCTAATGCTTAGGTATTACACCAACAGAAAAATTATGACAATATGCACCCGTAGACTAGTTAGATTTACAGGAAAAGTAAAGCATGAACATTGTCAGTGTAGCAATGGCACCCGGTAAAGCCTCTGTACACGTGTGACCATATTACTATCGCATTTCACTACTGCCCCATTTCTAGCCTGAGATTGACTTCAAATAAATTTTGGGGGATTTCTTAATGATTTTTAATTCTTCAGATTTCAATACAAAATTACCATTTTTTGGGTAGTCATTTGCACTTTGTGACAATGAATTTCGCAGCTTGGAAAAAGTACCAGAAAAGTGTTATCTTTTTGGAGGTTGGGGGGGGGGGCAAGATTTTAACAGTTGAAAACACAATACTGAGCATGCATACATTTCCATATGTTTCTAAGTTTAAAGAGGCAAATTAATAAGGGATGGCAAACTTCAAATGTTTGGCACCAAAGTTGAGAATAATTATCCACATCTATCTGAACCTCTGGGTTTGAGAAACTGAGTAGGAATCCTCATGAGATAAAGAGACTGTTCTGACATTTCCAATATCTCCTGAATATTGCCAGGTCAGAACCACCTCAAAAATACTCTGCTCCTTGTTGTGTTTCTGAATTTCACCATGTAGAGTCCAGATGTGGCTAGAATTAATGCAAAGGGAGCTGCCATATGAGAACTGAGAACAATAGTTAGATTTAATGACTTTGAATCTCAAAAATAGTTCAGGTTTGAATACACCCATCTATTATTTGATATGAATGGATTAAGTAGCTTTGGAAATTACTGAATGATACATCATGATACAGTAATGGAGTAAATGGTCTTTGGAATTGTTATAGTTTATGGGGTTAAGAATACTACTTTCTGAATAGTGTCTATACTTATTTCAGAGTGGTAGGCGTGTTAGTCTGTATCAGCAAAAACAACGAGGAGTCCTTGTGGCACCTTAGAGACTAGCTAATTTATTTGGAAATAAGCTTATGCCCAAATAAATGTGCTAGTCTCTAAGGTGCTACAAGGACGCCTCATTGTTTTTGTCTATACTTAGTTTGCCATGCAGCTCTAAGACCACAATCCTACAAAAACTTATGCACATGCTTAAATTTATGCTCATCAGTAGTTCCATTCAACTCAATGGAAGGTGCACACATGTCTATTACATTGGGCAAACAATGCATACTTGTATAACTATGTGTTGTCATGACACTCTGTAGTTTATTGTCTCCGTTGATGCCCCTACGGCATCAATATATATTTTTACAATTGTGTAAATCCGTGTTTACACAATAGACAATAACAAGTTTGAAGATGCTTCTGTAATAGCATGACAAATAATATATTTAAATATTTTCTGGCTAAGGATTTACATATTTATGCAACACATCAAGTTGGGGGGGTATCTGTCTTGTTGGCTCTCATATATTGGTACTTGCATGAAAATCATCATCTCTTTTTGGGATGACTGTGGAAAAAAATGAAACCATAAAATAACTAAAACAATCCAACCCTAACAAGCAAAAATACCTAGGTTAGAAACCTCTAACATCATATGTAGTCACATAAAAGGAAGACTATTTAGCAATAAGGCTGAAAAATTTAATTTAGCACCACACGTGGCACCTGAGATTTACATCCAAAAAATGAATAATCCTACATGCCAGTACCATTGACACTGCACTTTCTTAGGAGCAAAAGGTGGGATAAGATCAGAGCTTCTGCCTTGCATCTGAATTTGCTTATACTTGTCGCTTTACAATAAAATAGAAAGTAGTGTTGGGTAGTTATTGCAGTACAGAGAACATTTTGTCCTTAATCTATATAAAATGTATTAAATATTAATGGGCTGTAATAATTCAAGAAAAGAATTAGTAGTCAATAGACCAGGACACAGTAGTCAATAAAGCCTCTGGGGACAGAAAGCTTTATTTCTTGGAAGAGTAGGTCACCAGTACTACTTAATAATCAACATTTCACCCTGTATTTTATTTTAGACCAACTATGCTGTTTTAATTTATGGTAATGTATTAAAATACCATTAATTTCTTCTGATAAACATAAAACCCAGCCAGTATTCTGCTCTAAAAATGCAGTTTGCAAAAACTAATTTTATCCATAGATTTTTTTATTATGATTATTTATAAAAATTATATGCTGTGAAAGCTACGCTTTTTCCAAAAACAAGAATGAACTGCAGATAAAATTTTTGTTAGTGTGATTTACTGCTAGTGCAGTGCATATATCTGAATATACTCTATAGGTATATGTAGTTAACTAGAACTCACTGCCTTCTGTCATACCAAAACAACTCCTAGATGAAGCTGCAATAGTTTTATGATCATACACATTTTCTATCCAACACCTGGCTAATTTAGTCTACAGTACATGTACAGTGGGATATTTGTTTTCAAATTAATTTTATTGTAATGGTGTATTTTGAACAGCACTATGTAGTAAATGGATATTTTCTGCTTTGTAACTTGATTATTGTACTTCTGTTTATATTTTAAAATTATAAAGTAAGCAGGCCTTAAACTCAATGAACATAACACACATTGCCTTCTTTCATCCTAAATTGTAAGTTTTTTCTTCAATATTTATATATGATTTATATTTCAAGCAAAACTCTTAAGTATGAATTTTAGTATATATAAATATAAGTTTTCTATATTCAGTCTATCAAACATTTTACAATTGATTTGCCATAAACTATCCAACATAAGGTGTTTCAAAACTAGTGTCTGTTGAGTCTGATTTCTGTTTGAACTTAAATCTAACTAGATTTTCCATTGTGGAGAACAGAGAATCTGTCTTTCTAATAACAAGGGGAGGTTGAGCTTTAAAAGGATACTTCCAAATGAGTACTTATTTTACAGTATAGACAAGGACTGTAGGGGAAAAAAATCATCTACAGTAAAGCTTTCAACGTGTATTTTCATATTAAGATTTTCACTGTATTAGCATTCATGTATTACAACCAACAATCTATTTTTAAAAGAGAATGTCCGCTTTCCAGTTCCTAAAACTTCAGTGTGTGTGTGTGTTTGTGTTACATTGAAGGTCAAGGATGAAATATAGCTTGCTATATCATTTGGTCTTGATTTGAATGTAACCCATCTGACTCATATTCACAGTTGGAAAAACGTAAGAGAAGGGAGGCTGTGCAAGTAAAAAAATGAAAAAAAAGCAAAGGTTATTACTGAAATCATTTAGTTATGAATAGCTAAATACTGTCTTCCTGTTCTTAAAATCATTCCAATTAAATGTTAGCAATGTGTCCTACAAATAAGCCTGAACAGGGCACTTTTTTCATGGGAAAATGTAAGGAGGCAGAAATGTAGTGAAAAAAGAAAACTAATTCCTGAAAGGAAAGCTGCAAACACGTGACCCAAGCTATGATGAGTTCAGAAAGCACCATTTTGTAAGGTTTCAATCACTTTTTTTTAGTAAAATGTCCCTGTTCCAAAAAGCTTTCCATTAAAGCAGCTCCCAAGCTTGCATCAGAGAATGCTATCTTTGTTTACTTACCTTTTATTGCCTTTGGAAAAACAGTACAAGAGGGCCAGGCACAAATGATCACTAGAGTATGAAATAAGCAAAAGAAATAGAAGCATAACACTACATCAAGCCTGCTGAGTTCAAAATCTCCTATTCTCAGAGCTTTGGAATACCGTCTTATCCCAAGATACACAGTTTTAAATTGGAGAAAACAAGTTCTAGTTTATGCCAGGGGGAGAAACGGGTCCAGGATGTACAGGAAGAGAAGAAAAATGCCTTCTTTAAAAATCAGAAATTATCTGTATAGGTAAAAGCAATCTCAAACCAAGCTGGATATTAATAACATTTAAATAAACATTCATTACCCTGATACGGCTTCAGCTCATCTACTGAGAAAACAACCCCCACTGGATCATCTTACATCTCTCCACAGAAATTCCAATAAAAGCTATCTAGCATATTTTTTCTGAGCCACAGAGTTTCCAAAATTTCCTCCAGAGGGAAAAACAAACAAACAAATCTACATCTAACTTTCCTCAGTCACTGTAGCACATTTGAAATATACATGACAATCCAATACAGAGACAAAGAAGAGTTGTCTTCAAAATAATATTCATTATACAGGAAATTGTCAACACTCCACAAACTCAGTCAAGCCTTTTGCAATCAGAAGTTCAACAAAAGGCAAAAAAATAACCTCCTTGCTCAATCACTAACTATTACTGTATAGGATCCAAATAGGTAAGAGGACAAGAAACAACTCTCAAATGCATCTTGCAATATGTTAACAATCCCATCATCTGTCAAACAATATTTTATGCACTCACAAATAAATACACATTAATAGCTTTCCAAATTTTCATTTCAACTTCAGGATCTGAATTCAGTCTATGCTTTAAGATAGCAGCCAGCAGTGGAACTTAGGGAGATGGTGGTCTTTCTGCAGGGCATTATATGCGAGGTACAAGCAGATTAACTGGAACCTCAACCAATTCTTGTGACTGAGCAATGGGATATTTTATTCTCAATGTTTGTAATTTCTAATTAGCAGATGTACAAGCAAAATTAGGCTTTTTATAGGCTAGCAAAATAATTAAAAGAGC